CTAAAGCCTGACACTGTCTTTGCATTTCTCTTTGATGCTGACTCACACTGGCTTGTTCATCTTCTTCATACAGAACCACTGATACTCTTTTTTGGTTTCAATTTTGCCTAGTAGCTTTAAACATTTGTCACAGAGCCAAAACAAGTTTTCAAATTGCTGAACTTCCACAAAAATTAGGGGTGATTCGACGTGCTTTTGGTAGGTCAGAAAATAACCAAAAAAACGTATCCAACAATTACGGGGAATCTTCCTGATGGCAACATTTGTCATCATCTAATATATTATTTCAACTAACTTATTTATTTCCAAGAGTGAACTTGTAATAAGATGTCTTTATCGCCAACAAAAATTCATAACACTCATGGTCGGGTTATAACCATATGATGCAGGTTTCATTTTTGTGAAATTTTTGTAAAAAATTTTTGTGAAGTTAAAAAACCTAGAAATTAAACAGAATCATAAAAATGTCTTCGGAAGGACAGCAGTTTCCCAAACAACTATGTCCTAATACGTAGTCTTAATTATGCAGAATTAAGGGAGAAAAAACAATTCCAGTGTTTGTACGGCAGTTTCATTCCGTGGTCAAAAACTTGTCTGGAATCTGATGATTGTCAGGATAACACTCACAAGCCATCAATTTGCGGTGAGTAAGATTTCGCCCTCTTTCCATATTGTAAGATTTGCATCATAGTATAATTTTTTTCTTTTTTAGGGGGGGGGGGGTTCTAAATGTTCCCCGCCGTCCAGAATATTGGGCCCTCTGAGAGCATTTTATCTTCAAGTTATCAAATCTTTTCACTTCTCCTCGGTAAAAGGCAACTAGCCTTTTTGTCAAAATGGGAGCTTGATTTTCCCAAACGTTCCGTTGCGTACCGAACTTTAACCACAGATTTCGCGCTTGGATTTGAATCTATTGGTGGCCTGCTATTAATCAAGGCACCATATGGCCGAGAAGTTAGGCCTGTCCAAAACTAAGTATCTAACTACCTAAGTATCTCTTGATTATCTAAGTAAACCAAAAAACTGGTTTACTCAGATAATCAGAACTGATAACTTATACTCGTGCTGAAGAAATCTTATTCTAAAATAATTCTCCACAGAATCTTACGAGTGCCCTCTCAACGACTTGAGCTGCAAGAATCCAGGTGATGAATCAGATTTTCGTCTTTCGTTTTCATTATTATGGTTAACACGGTCAGTTTTGACTGGTATATGCAGCTGTCCTTTTTTACATACAGCTGTGCTATTTATGCTATTCANAAATTGCCATCAAAAGCCAAGAAATAATGACAGATAAGATCTTCCAAAACAACAAGGATAGAAAAAAAGATTTGGGTTCGACCCAACTGCTACTGACTCTGAAGTCAAGAGGGCTCTCACTTTGTCTATCGATGGTTGCGTTATTTATTATAGTCTTCAACACTGTGATAATGACTCACGTGCAACTTTACAGCAACGTAACGACTCGATGTTTATGACCTTTTTTCCTCCCTCCCCCCCCTGCAACCCCACGCAGCTCAGTCCAGTGGACTCGTGATTCAAATTTCAATGGTATTTTACTCCCGCACAGGACTTAGGTTGTGATGCTCTTTTCTTAGGCTTCAGCATTTTCAGCATGATTTTATCACGAATATACTTTTTTTATTTTCAGGGAACCCGGGGGACTCTTCTAAGAGAACGAACTGTGTTCGGAAAGGAGATAAAGAATGGCGAATAAGCTGTAACTTAAGAAAAAGGATTTCGAGTCATGATGGATTTCAAGAAAGGCGAAGAAGCTTGAACTTTGGAAAAAGGATTTCGACTCATGATGGATTTCAAGAAAGGCGAAGAAGCTGGAACTTTATAAAAAGGATTTCGATTCATGATAGATTTCAAGCCAAAAATCCTGGTGAGATAAATGAAAATTCCCAGTAATTTTCCCCACATTAATTACTTAATTAGAGTTAACGGTCGGGAAGCAGTAATAAAAAGGAGACAATTTTTTAAGCTAAATCTTGATACATTTTATTTTCCAACAGGGAACTTTATTTATTTCATTGGGGCTAATTCAACGAGAAATATCTCTACAGACTTAATAAAGCCTTCAAACAGCTGGAAGTGTATGCGCTTTTGGTATTACATTCGCAAGAACCTGAAAACCTCGTCTTTATCTTATAAAATTGAAGTTTTACTTTTGAATTTTTGCCCAAATACAACAAAGATGTCGAAGGAGCTTCTCTCGATTTCAGACAACAGGGCTAACCAATGGATTTTTGTACAGCTTCCTCTTGCACTGGATAAAGACAGTGATGCTCCATTCAAAGTCAGTAGCATTTTTGTAAAATAATCATGAGATTCACCATCTGCTGTCACTCTTTTGTGACTGTCACTGCCACAGTCACTATCAGTTACTATCATCGCCTGTTGCTATCATTGTCAATGTCACTGTCAATGTCATTTTCATTGGCTGTCCCTGTTATTGGCACTGTCACTGTCACTGTCATTGTCACCGTCGTTGCTTCTGTTTCTGCCCCCCACCTTTGTCTCTTCCTCCGTCTCCCTCCTCGTCACTGCCATCATATATTACTATTGTTGTCACTGTCACCGTCTACGTCTCTATCTTTGCCTCTGTCCTTATCAGTGTCACTGTTAATGTCACTATTATTGCCATCGTCTTTGTATCTGCACCTGTCTCTATCTGTCACCATCACTAGATGCAGACAGACACTGTAAGACCCGACAGAGCGCAATGACCCGGCCAGCGCGTAAACTCAGACCTACAATCCAATCCAAAAGCAAGCGTGCTGGCCATTAGGCCATTACGTCTTCTAAGGGAGAGGGAAAGGTGCAGACTATAAATGCTTGAAATGAGCTTTTACTCAAAGAGAGTATTAAAAGAATGCTGCAACACTCATATTCATATTTGGACAGATTGTGGTAAGCCGTCGTTTCGAGTCATACTACATCAGTAGGTGTATGTTTGCTGAACAGATGTAGAAAAAATCATATAAAATATTCAAGGTGTTTTTCTTTATAGATTTCCTTCAGGGGAACAGTACAATCCAGCGGAAACGTAAAATTTGCGATTGATGGTGTCTCACTTTCGCCGGAAAAATGCGAAAAAATACCATTCACTAGCAAACAGAGTAGGATCTGTTTTTTAAAAGTTTGTCGTTGATTTGTCTTTTTTTCAGTATTTGTTTTACTTTCACAAATCTATTGTTTGTTTTTGTTGTTGTTGTTGTTGTTGTTTTCATCAGATGGCTGTGACAATTGTGAAAAACTTGAACACTGGAACAGTACCAGTGGTAACGCGACGTGGAGACTCGTCTCTTCCTCCGAAGTTAAAACACTACTGGAAAATGTAAAAGGGAGTTCACCGCGGAACCAACTCAGTGGTAATTGTTTCTTATCATGAATACGAAGGCTGGTTATAAGCACTCCTACTCACAAGCCCTTCAAAGNCTGATTGGTCGAGCGGTTCCTTATATGACGCTATATAAACCGCTCCACGCGGTTTATATAAAATGTTAAAAGAAAATGTCAATAAATGTTATTAAAATGTTATGATTTTAGACATTTCTCTGTTGTTCAGCTCTGAAATTATACTAAAACAATTATTCGCCTCAGGTTCGGTGAATATTGTCGAATAATCCCCTCGACTTCGTCTCGGGGATTATTCGACGATATTCACCTCGCCCTCGGCGAATAATTGTTAAATATAAACTACACCCTACCTTTAGGCAAAGGCCGAAGTGATCAATGAATAAAATCATTCTTTTTTCAAAAAAAAAACACGTCTTAACCACCAAGAACCCTGCAAATACTGAGGTAATGTTAGTGTAGTTTACATAATATAATGGATAGTAATTATATTTTCTTTCATTACCTCTTATCATTAGCCGTTAGAGTGCTGCTTTTTAATGCAACATGCACAAGAATAAGTGTTGAGAAATGGCTCCAGGAGGATTTAACTCAGGGTACACTGTGTATGTGGATTAGGACAAAATTCTCAGGGCTACAGCTCGAGTATAGGCAGAACACTGAAGAATTCCAAGGAAAGACTTCACTTCAACTAGTCTTTCATGATACTCTGCTGAAAATTAGCTTGCATAGGAAAGAATGGTTTGTAAAGCTGATTGTTCTTTTGTTTAATTTATCAACACTGTTAGTTGTTTCTCTCAAAGTGCTTCAGTTTTCAAAATCCAAGAATGAATAATGGTTACGATCAGTACGTGTGTACCAAGAGAATATAGTCAGTGTATATTCTCTTGGAGTGTTCTGATTGAGTAAAGGAGTCGCAAGCTGTTAGAAGTCAGCTCGGCAATGTTCTTTGTCTCCTTCTCAGGAAAAATTCTACTTCTTTGTTTAGTATTCGTAACCATCTCTGCCCACCTGCGCAAACAGACGGTGAGCCCTGATGCTTCACGTGCGTTAATCACCAGCTATATTAACTGAGGCAATCGTTGGAGGTTTGCACGGCCGCCCTCAGCCTGAGAGTACCGTTGTTCCTTTTCGCGGTGAAACCTCTGAGGAGGTGGCAATAGTAAGGTTTCCCGGCGCTTCGGAGCAATAACTATCAGGAGCGACTTGATCCTTAAATAGGTGGATTTCAATAACTATTTCTACGCTGGGGTTACTATTATCTCGGGGAATGCTAGAGCCAGAACTAGCTTCGTCCACGGATCTTTTTTTAAAATAGGCTTTCGCTCCTCTTGCTTATTTTAAAGAGGCTACTTTGGGATACAGGTGGCAAGTTTACTACTGATCACGGCCGAAGAGTTCATTTTTTTAGTGAAAAGTGCTATTTCTGTTGTTAGGAACATATCTACCTCAGTAATTGACGACAAATGGCACCATGTTTGCGCCAGCTGGAAAGTACCGCGTAGCGGACGTTTACGAATCTACATTGACGGACAAATTAAACTGGAACGTGACGTTCGCGTGAAAAACCCAGTTACAGGTACTCAGTTTATTATTTAGCTTCTAAGTAAAGTTATTTAATCGAGGTAAAGAGGACAGGTTCTGCTGTAATTGGTTAGTTTTCAAAAGCTGTGATCGAACAGCGCACTTTTTAGGAGTGATCCACTATCCCAGACGTTTGGACAATAAAATAGAAATTACAGTAACTTGAATGCGCACGATTAAGAAACATATCCACAGGAGAGTCATGCCACAGCAGACTTCTGAGGCAACAACTCGCCTATTTAGAATGGATCGAAAAGCGACCTATCGGCGGCTAAAATCAGTGAACTGTACGTAATTGGCATGTGTCACGCTTCACAAGAGGACACACATTTATCCAAACCTGCCGCTTGATTGACTCATAGGCAGTCGAAACCGGACGTAATTTACATACGAAGTAGTTATATCACGAGAGCAGTATACTTACAAAATAATTTTCTCGTGTTGTCCCACGCGGGATGCCAGGATGATAATTTATAATTATATAAACTTTTCGATTATTCTCCCGACATCCCGCTTGAAGTGGTTTATCGCGCCGGTTAAAGTGCGTCATATTTCTTTTGTAAAATGAACTTCAGTTTACTATGAGTTTACCAATGCAATAAACGACAAGTTTTTGACCAATCAGTACGCTTTATTCCATGAAACCGAATCAATTATTCCTATCTGGTAATAGTTCCTGAATTATACCTTCTCGTACCTAAAAGGAAAAGGGAACCTAAATCTAGAGTTAAAGAAAGAGACAACCTCGAATGGAACCAATGGTTATATCAGTGGACTCAACGTTTGGGATCACATGCTCGAGTCACAAGAAATATGGCGAATGTCTCTTGGCTGTGCAAATGAAACAGGAAATGCAGAAGCCTGGGCGAGATTCCAATCCTACTTGAGCTATTCACCCCATGATCAGTGTTCAGTCACTCAGATAGAGAAAGCTTTATCGTGCCAGGATCGCGAAAGTATGTTTCAATTTCAATTTATTTTTTGTAAAGACTTTGGCGAAAATATGCTTTTAGATCTGATCATATCATAACTTCAGCATAAACGAAAGAGCCAAATCAAGCGAAAAAACATTGAAAATCGAAACATCAAATAAAGTCTCCCGATTATGACTAAAAAAAATTATTATAATAATTGATCTCAAGAGGGAGAAACTGAGAATGATCAAGTTGCTCTACCTTACTTTGAAAAATTCGCTTTACCCTCACAAACATTTAGATGAGCAAAACAGACTCGTTTTCCTAAAGCTTCGAAAGTCTTGTTGGCTTTCTTACATCTCAACCATTTCCTTTGATTGCCATACTTGCTTTTAATTAGTTAAGGTTCTGATTTTACAACATTCAATTGAAATCATACCACCCTGTTTCATTTCATGGAACCTTTTGGTAATAAAACAAACAATGAAAAACTCGGCAAACGCTATGACTTCTCTTATTACAGACGAAAGGATGATTCTTGATACAAGTGGAGGTCAAGCCGAGCTTAAGAGCCCGTGGTTTAACAGGTCAGATGTTTGGCATGGAAAGTGTGTAAAGTTTCGCTTTATGCTCGTTGGTTACGGAAATCAATCACTACATTTTATTCAAAATGTTGCTCAAGACCTAGAGTCACCACCTATTTGGGCAGCTAGAAACACTGACAGCTCACAACTATGGCAATATGGACAGGTTTCAATAACAGGAACAGCGCGTCATCAAGTAAGAAATGTGGTGCCTTTGAAGAATTTTTTATAATTATTCTATCAGACTGTGTTGTTATTTATCTTACCCTGTTGTGATTTATTTCGAAGGATGGGGGTCATATGTAAAAAAATAAGACGAATAAAAAATCATAGTCTACATGTGATTTGAACCCAAGCAATACTATGTTAGAGAAATCATTGGTGAACTTGGCCATGTATTAGGAGCAAATGGCGTCGTGCCTGCGCAAAAGCTTCACTTTTAGCCGGCCACGCGCTAATTTCCCGAACTCAATTTCAAAGAAAACGAAAAGAAAGAAATAGTATCGGGAAAATATGCGGAAAACACCGAAACAGGATACAAAAGTATGCAATGGGAATACCTGAGAGTTTTAAATCACAAAGTCTATTCAATCGTGCGCTTTAAAACACCGTGACTTAAATGCTCAGGATATTGTTGTTTTTTTCGTTAGACTCTTATAGAATAACTTGGTACAGCCTGAAAGTACGCCACCTAACCGTTACAGCGTTCGATCATGCACATGTAGGTGCATGCGTTTATAAGTTACAAAATAATGTTATCTGGCCACCAGAAATTCGCTACACACAAAATCCTACATTAAGAAAAAATGCACTTTAATTGTTGCAGTTGAGTTTTAGAGGAGAAATGGAAGCAGGGGACGATGGCTCCATGGCTATTCATATTGGTGGTCTATACATTGTACCTGGTTACTGCGAGATTCTTCCACATGACCAAATGCAAGGTGAGTACGAGGCCGAGTAATATAGAAGATCACAGGAGTCAAATCATGAATAGTACTTACAACTGGGGGAAGGACTACTAGAGAGCTTTAAAGATACAATGGCTCGTTGGATCGTATATGAGAAGGTAATTTTTTATTTAAAACTAGCACAATATGATATTTGAAATTCTATGGGGCACAACCTTAAGTCCGGAGATGATATGGGCTCAATTATTCCGGTTTCAGAATAATAAGTCTAAAAAGTATTTTGTGGTGTTAAAGGAACGATTGCAGCAATATTTACTTATTATTCACCGAAGCGGAGGTGAGTAATTGTTTTAGTATATACCACACAGATACCAATACGCGCGATTTTGTCTCTTCGAATGCTTTCAGGTCAAAAACACTTGTTACTCACTTTCGAACAGCTAATCGGCGCGTGCGCAAAGCACTATTCTCTTCTGTGATATACACTAAGTGAGCGTATTGCGAGCTAATAACCTGAGGGACCATCAAGATCCGCAGAATAATCTCATGAACACATTTTTCATATAAAGTTGTGTTCTTTTTAAGGGATTCGAAGAGAAGTCTCGCAGGACAAAACAACTGGTTGGATTTTTTCCCCCCAATACCCTGGATATTACACCAACGATGCATATTACAAATGGACCCTGGCAGCTCCACCCGGTCACATTATAAAGTTAGAGTTTGTTTATTTTGACCTGGAGAATAGCAGTTCCTGCTCACATGATTTCTTAGAAGTAAAAGAACCTCACAATACACATGGACCCTTTTGTGGTCAAAGCAATCCAGCTGTTATTAAGTCCGAGAGGAGATGGATGATCTTACTCTTCAAGTCAAATGAAAAAGTAGCAGGAGGGGGCTTCAAGGCTAACTATACGGCAATACAAGGTACGAAACTGATTCAAAGTGATTGAAAGTTTCAAAGTGATATGTCAGCAAGCTGAGCTCCAGATCGCAAAACTCCAGGGTCGAGCCCTGGTCAAGGGCGTGGCCAGTAGAGAGGGTAGGGAGCATCACGGTTACCGAATTCCGCGCACCTTGCGCGAGGTGGCTTATACCGCTGTTCTACTTTATGTGCCAGTGGGCTCAAATTTTTTCGGCCAAAAAGACCAGCCAGTGAGGTACATAACACTTTCAAGGACTTAAGCAATACAGAATCTTCGTATGCACGAGCTATCGCCACCTAGATCATAAGGTTTGGTGAGTTACTGACTGAAAGAAGGTGGTTTTCACAGCACACCAGGACCCCCTCCCCTCTAAGCAACGCCCCCGCCTGAAAGGGTTATTCACCTATAGTTTCGGGCAAGGCTAATCAAAGCCTCTCCACCGTGAACTGTTAGTGACTACCAGAGAACTGTAGATGACACGTGAGGAAATGCGATGGGGGTTGGATGTTACTCGTCATGTAATAGCTTCCTATTAAGGAGAAGCGCCAAAATATCTGGACAGCTATACAAGTCAGTCTCGTTTAGATTGATATAGCTGACGTCGATCAGAAGAAACGAGAAATTGCAAGTAGAAAACAATAATAATCCCAGAGTGACCGGATGGTAATCGTTTAAAGCTAGAGAAACTGTGTCGCACTTGTTAGAGCATTTGGGTTCTTGACTTTAGAGTACCACACTTCAGATTACAAGCCAATATTTAAAAAAAAAAAGAATCTTCTGTTTCTCTTTTTACAATATGATATTATAAAATTAAATTTAAAAAATTGCGTAATTACAGTACTGGAATATAGCACGCACAAGAAAAAAAGGCACATATTTGAATTGTTGAGTAGAAGTGACAAAAATGCATGAAATAAACCTTAAAAAGAAACATCTTATTTAAGAACCCACCAAACTTTTTTTTCTTTGCAGTTGCGAATATTTACCATGAAAATGGTAAGTAGTCACTTAAGAATAGAATTCAGCAAATTAAGACTTCAATTCTTTCAAATTAATTGAATAAAAGAATATATTTTTTCGGCTCTTGAAAACAAAAAATGTTTTCTCTTCGCTTGTCTGATCCAGGTTGTCCAGAGAATTGTAATTGCAGCAAGACTGCTGTTGATCTAAAACTCGTTGTTCGATGCAATGGCCCATTGTTGGAATTTCCCATGTTACCAAATGACACCACTGTTTTGTAAGTTATGTTTAATACGTGCCCTACCTCTTCCTTCCGACTTAGTTCTCAGGTATTGGTTATGTAAGCATAATTGTAGCTACGCCTCAAGTCGTTTTTAATTCAGGTGGACATTACTAAATTTGGAAGGAAACTACATAACATCTGTGTGAAAGAAAAAAACAAAACAAAACAAAAACAAAAACGAGGTGATAATTATCAAAATTTTTCGTACTTCAATTTGGAAACTTTTCCTTCATTTGAATTACTAATATATAGATATTGATCCGGGTTTCGCAACTGCGCACCCACCCCTCCCCTAATCCAACATTAAGCCTAATCTGTTTTCATTTTACTGTTGTTGTGTTATGGGAGGGGTAGGTGCGCAGTTGTTCAGATACTGACAATTATCCAGAATCCTCTTAGTAACTATATATCAGTTACGTCACAGTAGAATTGCATTGTTGTAACAGTGGGTGCTCTACATTTTTGCAGGCAGTTGAGCCATACCAGTATAAGCGAACTGGAAGCATGGCATTTCCAGTACGACACAAATGCGAAACAGCATCTTGAATTGGTGTAGGTATCTCATGCAAACCCGTTAAATTTGCATTTCGATTGGTCTGTCATATGGGACAGAAAAAAGTCCCTTTTTAAATAGGGAGGTTTTTAGACATTGATTTGGGCGTTTTGTATAATGTCAATTTTTCCATAACCCATGCAGACGATGATAAGCAGTCACGTAAAGAGGTCGGAGAATAACCATTGAACTAATTTGGATGCTACAATTAACAACTAGATTATGGGCTTGAGATTTCTATTACGTGTTTTTGCTTTATTGTGTTACTTTATAACTGCACAGTGTTAGGCAATTCGCTGTACTCACTCTCTGTCACGGTAGAGATACCGTGTAGAGATCACGGTAGAGATCACGTGTAGAGATCACGGTAGAGATAGTGAGTAGTTTAGCCAGTCAGAATGCAGCATTTGTCATAAATTCAGAGCAACTTGCATTCAAGCACCACAGGTGCCTGTTACGCAGTTTTCGCAATTTTTTTTCTTCTTTGCAGCGATCTCAGCTACAACAAGATACTTTACATTCAGGGCAGCGTGTTTCATAACATGCCTTCTTTACGAACCCTGTGAGTCCTTTTTCGGACATTACTTTGTCTACACACTGAAAACTGTAGTCGGGATCCTTTCATTGTAAATACTAGCTCGAGTGTATTGATTTTATAGGAGGCTGCAATCCATGCGTGCATTTTTGTGATGACATCATTTATGATAGAGCAAGCCAACTCAGCGGCCAAACGTCTGCACACGGGCGAAGGTTGAAACGGCAGAAAGGCGGCGAAATCGCACTCTAACGCGCTGCTATAAATGAGTATAACTGTTCCGGTTAAAATTCCAAAAGGAGAAAATCATCAGAATGCACGAATTTATGCTCATCTATTAGTTTTTTTTATAGATTTCTAAGAGCGTTTCAATTTTTTTTGGCAAGTTTTGCGAGTATTCTTTTACTTTCCTGTTTTACTTCGAAATTTTGCGCGGGAAATTGGTGTATAGCTGGGAAAAACTAATATGTTTGCGCATGTCAGACGTTTGACCGCTGTGAAACGTCTTTGACCATCTCGCACCAATGCAACATCAGCGAGAAAATTTCCATCATGGATGTACACAAGGTAAGCAAACAAACAGCTTTAAAGGTCCGGAAACTCCTGGGAATGTCGAGAAATGGACCCTGGACATTTATACGTGTCAATAGATCACTTATTACCCAACTTGCTACGTCCGTGGTGCCTACTTAGCCAAGCAGATTTCATTTCAGTTTTTTCATCATATATACACCTAATTTCAATGAGGTTGTCATAGGAAAAGCAAAAGCAAAAAGCAAAAAGTCAAATAAGAATTAATTAGCATTTAATTATCATTGCTTGCAACATTCACAACACACACGCTTCAGTTTCTTGGTGTCATTCTAATTGCGGAATTACAGAATATGTCTTGTTATTGTGAATGACTTCTTAAATAATTGTTAAATTATTCAAATACGCAAATGTAAATCACATGGCTAATTAATTCCTCTATTTGGCTTTTTGCTTTTTGCTTTTGTCCAGAGGTGTGTATATAAACTTCCTAGCATGTCTGCAACCCGATGTGAGCTCATTTCTGCTATTAAGAGTCGACATTTCTGGTCTGCACAAAATGAAAAACTTCTCCCTCAAACATAAATTACATCTCTTATATATATCGTATTTTATCGGCTATAAGCCGAGACCCTAAACTGTTAACTCTTAAACTTAATACGACCGTCTTCAAACATAAACACAAAACATTCAGCTATAAGCCGAGACCCAGTTCTTAAAACGTATAAGAGCTCATGAAAAATTTTAATCACATTTAGCTTTTAAAATCTGTTAAACACGAAGGCGCGCTATAAAAGGAGCCTTAGGTCCCACTGGACCATTTGTCAATCAACCGTCGTGTGATTTAGAACTCTTAGAGTCAAGTCAGCTTGAGCTACAGCTAATACAAAGCAGTGAACAGCGGGCGCATTCTTCAAATTGTTTTATGTCTTCATCACAATACAAGAATTTTTGAGATTTGTATTTCCTTTCTCCAATGGAAACTGTCTTTATTTGTGGTGGTAAATTTGAGATCGAAGTAGGTGGTTCGCACGTTACCTCATGCCACCATGCTGGTGGATGTAAACAATAGATATCTCATTTGTTCCTTTTGTTCGTCTACCAGCATTTGAATTTGACCCGCACACGTCAACGGTGAGTCACAAATGAGCCTAGGTCTTCCCAGGGAAGACTTCCTTATACAGCGCGCCTTCGTGTTTAAAATGAAATGAAAGAACGGGTTAATTATCCAACGGCACGGGAAATTCGCTTGAAAAGCAAGGTGTCCTGAACATCATAGTTAGTAGAGGGGACCCTCTACTAACCATGTTCTGATAAAAGGGTCATGTCTACGTTTTTCTCAGTAACTACAGTCCCGCCACTTTGCACAAGTGACAGGATCATTTTTTTTTTCTTTTACATGAAATAGAAGACTAAACGGAAATTTTATCCAAAATATTTCTACTGATACGTTATGTGGACTCGGTGCCTTGCAAACGCTGTAAGTAAATAGTGGCGTGGTTGCACAAGATCAGATATGCAAACTTCCTTTGTCATTGCTGTTTTCAAAGAGAGACACCGTTAAACTTCCTGTACATAATTTTTCCATCCTCTGGATATTTTTAGTATTAATAACCGCCAAAAGGAAACAGTCATTGGCTTTGATTGGTTTTATACAACAACTTTCAGTCGAATATTGGAAGTAAAAAGGACATTCCAATGCTTTTCCTTTTCTAACCTCTGTAATTGGTCTAAAGATTTTCTTTATCCTACCTGTTAATCAATCTGATGGAAAACATGGACAAATCGTGCCTTATGATTACGGTCAATTGAGTTATCTGTATTAACTATGACCACTTCGACCCAGGTCAGATTCACCTTGTTCTGATTTTCAGGTAACAAGATGTGTTACCTATGACTGCTTCAATTGGCCCTCTGTTAGATTTACCTCACTCTGATTTGCCCTTGTAATTAACCCCAGTTTTTTTTCGAGAAGTGCTCTACTGTATGAGACCTGTTCATTACCGTGAACGTCGGGATTTCATGCTAGCGTGACCGTCGGGATTTCATACTAGCGTGACCGTCGGGATTTCGTGCTAGCGTGACCGTCGGGATTTCATGCTAGCGTGACCGTCGGGATTTCATGCTTAATTCTTTTCCTTCTGTTCAGAGATTTGGGCGACAATCTGCTTTCCAAGTTGGATGGTAACCCGTTTGGAAATCTTACGAACCTTTCTATACTGTAAGCTGCTCGATTTGTTTGTTTTTTGTTTTTTTTTTCTGAGCGCACTATCTGTCTTGCACATGAATTACATTGTTAACAGCAGTTTATTATGATAGTTTAGTTTTTTTCTTTTATTTCTTGATATATTCATAAATACATAGCAGTTAAAAAAACTGAATTGCGTATTTACTCACATAATACAGATAGTAAAATTAAACTAATTTAGATATTAACTACTTAGTTATTAAAAAGCGTTCAATCGGTTCAAAAAAGGAAAGCTAAAAGAATATGATATGAGATATCAATTGCTTTTCTTATTCAACAGGAGCCTTCGATCCAATAAAATAGAAACCGTAGATGGACTTTCATTTAGTAACACCAGCAAACTGACTCACTTGTAAGCTCGGTGCATGTTCATGTTTTAATAGTAACAAGAGAATTTAAATAGTTTATAATCTCTTGTGAATAACTTGTCAGTAACAGTATTGTCGTCACAGTGCTTATTTGCACTTTCCTTCGTCCCAATTCATCTTAATCGGTACCCGCTCTAACGTGAACCCAGGAGACAATACGAAATATTTCACCGCTCAGCTATGAAATAGAAGACCGTGGGATATCTACACCAGAGCTGCAAGAAAATATTTCAATTTTTTTTTTCGTTAAAATCATACTTAAGTATTTTAGGCAAAAATTGAAAGTTTTTTGTGCGCATACCTCTCTTGAACGACTCCGCCAACAGAAATTTGTTTTTCCCTTAGTTTTGCATTCATTGTATAAATTTGATGTCGTTGTTTCTGGTATTGTCGTTCCGTGAAAATTCGCGACAAATACATTCTCTTGTGGTCAATGAGGCTTATCGCTTACTAACTTGTTTATGATATTGTGACAAGGTACCTCCAAGACAACAAAATATCTCATATCGAGGATGGCCTATTTCAGGCTTTATCGAGTTTGAAAGTGCTGTAAGATATTTCTGTTTTGTTCATTGGTTAGCTGAAACTTTAACGTAATTAACGTCATGACATAGCCTTAAGAGTTTAGATATATGTGCATTCTAATTCCCTTTATTTGGATTTTTTTAATGAGTCTACCGATACGTCTGTTGTTGAGCGCTAAGACTTTCCATATCTTTGCATCAAATTGCCTTGAAAAGATGGCTGCCTAATAGAATTTGAATTCAAATGTAAGATTCACCCGCTAGCGGGAGTTTCATACTGACGACACTTTCGCTCTTTCTTCGAGTCTTCTCGCTCATGGAAAATAAGAACACGCAAGAAATGTCTTATAGCCTATATGTTTTGAAATGTTAACTTGAAACACACTTTCGCTATCAAAGGACCCGTTAAAAAGGACGTTTTCCGTGCTTTATTTCTAAAGCTCCGACGCAATGCTTTTGATAGGTATTTGAATAGCAACCAGTTAAAAACACTGACTTCTTTCACATTTGATGGACTTGGCAAACTTGAAACTCTGTAAGTTTTTTTCTATTGATTCTGCTAAAAATCAATGTTTATTTGCAAATTTACAATCACTGATCATATTTTGTAAGAGGGAGTCCTTGCTTATTTTCCCTGTTTCCTAAATAACTATAAGGCTTAGTCACAATTTAGTTCAGTATAAATTCAAAGACGCTTTGTGCATTACCATTGTAATTAAATACCCCTACTAAAATAATCAAAACTTTTGGTGTCTTCGAACCCTGCGTACTTTGATATAACGCACAGGACGTTTGCAGTGACTGAATGGTTCTCTGGCGTCTACACAGATTTGAGGTCGAAAGAGTCGGAACCAGTTAAGTTTAATAAAGGAAAAACAGAGCAATTACTCTGAAACGCGAAAATCTATAGCTTTGAGAAAAAATCAAAAGCTACCACGATTCTCATTGTTATATCATCAGCTATCTGCAAAACAATTCGCTGGACGAAAGGAGCCCTCAAGATGTATTCGAAAAAGTAAAGAATTTGAAAATCCTGTGAGTGGCATTTTGAAATAACATAAAGTTACCTAACAGGAGTCCTGCGCAAGCGGCTCAGCAGCATTTAGGTTTATATGAGGAACTGTAGTTAGAAGTTGTTACTCTTTTCATTCAGGAGGTTTTCATCTATCTACGGATAGCCTTACCCTGTTACCCCAAAACCTCTTTTAGATACAACTTAGTTGCCACAATTCTTTGAATCGTTCAGGCGTATATTTTCAAGTTTTGAACAGTCACATTCTGTCATTTTATCATAAAGGCTTAACCCCCCTCCCTCCCTCCCTGTAAGGGGCTTAGTGGTCTTTAAACTAAACAACTTATGTTGCACTTAAAGTTAATCTCTGTTTATGAAAACGGACGGTGAAAGTCCTTCGCAGAGGTTAAGGTGTTTTTTTTTCTTTCTTATTCATCTCGTTGTTCAAACTTGTCTTTAGGAAAACCGACAAATTCATTCTGTGTTGCTATGCCAAGAAAGCCATTAAAAACCTGGACTGTACAAGCACTGACGACAATGACTTCTCCAGCTGCGATGATATGATGAAATATCCATCAATCCGTGTGTGTCTCTGGGTACTTGGCATCGTGGCCACTTGCGGTAACCTGATTGTCCTTATTTGGCGCGTATTGGTACCCGACAACAATCCTGTCCAGTCTCTACTCCTCTCCAATCTAGCGATGGCGGATTTCCTAATGGGTGTTTACTTATTGACTCTAGCCGTACTAGACATCAAGTGGAAAGGGGAATACTTCATGCACGATGTCTCATGGCGCAATAGTCGTGCTTGCAGGATCGTGGGAGCAATTTCAATGCTTTCCAGTGAGGTCTCTGTCGCGATGTTAACTATAACAACCGCGGACAGGCTAATATGCGTGGTTTTCGCTCTCAAATTTGAGAGAATGACACTTAAATCTGCCTATGTGGTTTGTCTGTGCGTCTGGGTTATGGGTGTGGTCATTTCCATAATACCCATATTAGACATAGAGTACTTTCACGGCAATAGTTCAAACGGGATCAGCCTCTTCTCGCAGTCAGCCGTTTGTTTGCCTTTCCAGCTTTCCAGCAAGAAGCCCTCGGGTTGGGAATATCTTATGGCTATCTTCATAATCTTCAACTTTTGTTCATTTGTTTTCATTCTCGTCGCATACATGGCCATTTACTGGACAATGATGAAACTGGTCAGCGGATCAGCGTCTGCACATATGCAACGCGAGTCTGCACAAGCCAATCGTCTTTTCATCATCGTGTTGACAGATTTCTTCTGCTGGATGCCAATTATAATTATGGGTATCTTGTCTTTGACAAACACTACCGACTTTTCTGATCTTACAGGCTTGGTTTATGTCTGGGTGGCCGTGTTTGTCCTTCCTCTCAACTCATCAGTGAATCCAGTCCTGTACACTCTCACCACTTCGAACGTTAAAGCAAAGCTTATGTCTGTCCTCTCAAAGTTTTCCATTTGTAACAAGCAAGGTAATGAATCGCAGTAAAGATACCGTAGTGCATTTAAAAGGGACCTTAAGAAACCACGACGACGACGGTGACGGCGACGAGGACGTGGAAAAACAAGAGATCTAATTGGCAGAACAATAGCTCAGCACGTGCATTGTGAAACTTTGTACATTTCTTAGCCGTCCTATGCAAAACAACAACGTGAAATCGCCAAAATTTGCGTCGTCTGCGAACCGAAACCGCGACGGCAAATTATTTTAATTTCCATTTGGAACTCAACGGCTACTTTATACGTCATGCTGAAGTAGAGCTGTGGCGCTGTATGAGACAGTAAGCTCCTGCAGCCATTTTGAAATTCTAACTAAGAGTAGAAATTCATTTTTTTAATCGAAGTCTTCCTTGGCGTCGCCGTCGTGGTTTCTTAAAGTCCCTAATGAGGTGTAACTAAGTGGTTTTTGCTAGAAAACGTGACTTGAAAACTACCCACAATACCTTTCGAGGTTTAATGACAACGGCTGTACATCGTGAACAAACGTTTGCACCGTGAAAGTGAACGCCGTTATCTCGCAAACAGTCTGGAATTAAAGCTTGAATCTTACTTGTCCAGAAAATATTGAAACAGAAATCAATCATTCACCCAAAACGAGACAGTTTGATCGCTTCTTTTCTAGTACTCTTTCAAATGTTCGTCTGCTCTTTCTTTCCAGACCAAGGAAATAATCAAAATCTGGAGTGACAGCGCACACTTAAAAAAAGAGATACCCGCGAAACTGGAGACCTTAAGCAAGTTAGAGCAAAGATTTTAAGAAGAGGATAAAGTTCTACCAACTAATTATTTACGACACACCTTCCATGAGGAACAAGTTACACGATTCGCTTCGATGTCTGGCCTTTGATCTCGTGATGCTTCTCAACTCCAACCAGGCGACGAAAGGTTCACTAATCTAATAAACCTGTCCGTACAGTGGCATTATAATGTTAGCTTCGTGCAACACTTTTGAGGCTTGTCTTCTGCTTTAAAAATTAACCTTCTTAGCCTCGTGAACACCTGTAATCGCGATGCAAATAGGCCATTTTTGAGCTGTCATGGAACATTTTCACTCTTGTCATAAAACATTGAAGTGAAGTCAATTGATAGCTTGCCGTAGTATAACTTGTCACATCTCAGTGACTTAACCCCGATACTCGAACACCCTTGTTATTTATATCGACTTTTTGTTTTCATGAGCCAACATTCATAGTGGTTGTAATATAATAATGTACTCGAAAATATGTTGATAAGGAAAAAAATTCCGGCCAAACAACTTCTGTTCATTTCTTGTAATAATTGAAGTCTAATACTCCTAATGGTTGAAATGAGGTGGACTATCTTGAGGTTGAATGTCAAAATACATACTAAAATTCAAAAGTCGAATTACGACTTGGTAGAATCAGGGAGCTAAATAAACCAGAAGTATTCTGTTAGATCAGTACATTTTATACTGCAGGTGGAAGTAGGTTAGTAAAGAAAGAGAACAAAAGTTAAAAGAAGGTGATGTGAGGGAAAAGTAGCATAAAAAAAGACATGACACAAATTATTCATAATTGTGATGGGAAACAAATGCTTGTTGGAAAAGTAAAATTATTGTTGCTCAGAAAAACAATGGCAAAGGTGGAAAGCGAAAACTTAATATATAAAATTTAGTATCATTAAAATAGACATCTTGCACTTAAAACATACCTCGGTTTATTCTTCCTCTCGGTTGAGGCCGGCTTTTGTACTTTTGGGGGGCTTCAGTCCTACACATGTCACAGCGGTGTGTCCCAGGTTTATAAGTAGAACTGTTTTGGCCAACTTGATAAAAAATTCGGTAATAGCGAGTGGGGATAGGATGGCCGTGCTACTTACGCGAGTACCTATTGAGTCGAACAACACGGGCATGCTCTGTCTTCTTCTCGGCGGATCCGACCGAAATGCCGTTGACACGCCGATTTATACGGTTGGAGCCACCACTTTATAAACCTGATAATGCAGCGTCCTCAGATCACCACTTCAGCTTTTCAAAACGGTCTCATTTTAGCCTTAGCTCTTTTAAAAACAAAACAGTTCCCCCGGACTCGCCGCCAGCGAAAAACAAAAAATTTCATATCGTGCGCAACTTCAGTTCGGCTTTGGCAAAATATATAATTAAGCATAAGAACTATCCAAAAGATGAGCCGAGTTTCAAAGCTAAGTATACCGTATTCTTTCTAAGTTTCGCCTTCTTACGCTGTCGACTAGACTCAAGGCGAGCACATCGTAAATTTTATTGGCATTTTGCGTTTTCGTTAAGGCATCCGCTGACCAGTAAAATACTGTATCGTGCCCTAAAAACCGTATTTCTGCGGTTCCGGTTTTCTTCGACTGAGTCACACCTGAGTAAGACAAATTGCAACTTTAAAAAAAAAATTATACAGTTATTCGAAGGGTTTCTGATTTAAAAACATCTGTTAAAATCTTTTTATTTATATCCTATTTTGATTTATATCCTATCTTTTTATTTATATCCTATTTTTATTTCGACTACCGGTACTTTTCTTTAAATTGAACTTATCTTACTTGGATTACTATACCACAAGTTTGGCGGGGAGAATTGCATTCGTGACGAATAAATACCCCTACAGAACTCTTTTTTTTTTTTCCCCGCGGCTGCGTCGGTATTAGTACACTCCTGGCGCAGCTCGGCAGCACTACATTAGAAGAGAAATAAAATATCGTAGTCAGGGAATAGCAGGAGCGCCTGCGCGGAATCTATGGAATTCTCTAAGGGCGGGGCGGGTGCTACCGTCACTCTTTTAGCTTTCAAATTTTAAACTGTATTTGAACATAACCTATACTTTTTGTATCATTGAGGAAATTTGAAAGTCGAAAATAAGTTCAGCAATATTCGTTATTTTTAAAAGCTTTTTTAGGTTTTCCTTTCCACTAGATGTTTTGGTTACAATGAATATATGAAGTTCATATAGACGTAACTAGATTTTTTATTTGTACATCTACTGAAGTTTAACGTATTAAATAAAACAACAGTTTTAAAACTTCGTAAACGAAAAATTTTCTTCCCACACAAAAATCGAAATCATAACATGTTGACTCAGTCATTGCCGTTTTTGCGGCAGGGTAGCAGCGTCAAACCTTTATATTTGATCCCGATTTTGCCTTAGTTCTTTTGTGCTCTATCTTGTGTTCTATAAGTTGGCACACAACATAGCCAACTCTCTTAATCCCTGTGCAGATATGGCTTGAAAAGGTGAACAGTTTTTTTTCTTCTCCCTTAGCGTACTGTAGATTGCCCCATATAAGCCACATTCAAATTCCACCCCAATGAACAAGTTGAACTTTGTATTTCTTCCTCACCCTGTTGACACAAGGCTAACACGTCCTTATAAGGGTCATTACTTGTACAATATGTAACCTTGCCAAATGAATTGGTCAGTCATTCTCTTGTTTTATTACACGACTCGGGCAGTCAGAGGGCCAATAACTAAAATCAACCAATCAAAATGCTCTATTGCCGGTCAATATTCTCTCATTATTAGACCGGGCACTGTCCCGAATGATCCCGAATGATACCGCACTTGTGTCCCTTTGAACTTCAGTCGTATAATAAATTTCTTATTTACCAAGCTTGCTCGGGACCGTACTGGAAGAATATCGGCCCTCGGTCTTTTTTATACGGACCTCGCTGCGCTCGGTCCGTACTGTCAAGACCTCGGACCGATATTCTCCCAGTACGGCCCTCGTGCTTGGTTAAATATATATATATATAACTGCAGACAGTGCACACTGTTTCGACCTATGTGGGTCTCATCAGTGCAGTGCAGACACTGGGCCAAGCTCTGGAATAAACCATTGCCTGGGCGCTACACTTGTGGGACCAAGTGCAGGCATGTTGCCATGCGAGAGTGCTCAAATCACAACTAAGGTGATGAGCTTTGCCCGAAGGCTAAGTGCATGGCAACCCCAGTGTAGAGTGCTCAATCGCAAGGTAGCCAAAAGGCAAAGCCAAGCGAGAGCTATCTACACTTCTTTAGGAAGGACACGTCCTCGATTCATTTTTACAGTATTGAAAATCATAGGAAAGAAGGTGCTGAATTCTGTCACCCAATTATATTTCATTTTCAAGCTGAACTCCTCCTATGCAGCCAGCAAAAGCAAACTGTTTCTACCACCACATGCCTCCCAATCTAGGAGTTTGAAGTTTTCTCTTTTTAAAATATGTATTAATTTGCACTGTATGGTATGGTGAATTTTTTAGCTGTTATTTGCATACATTTTGGACTCTTGACCAATAAATGTAAAGGAGAAAAGGCATAGAATGATAGCTTAAATGATCTGTCAAGATATGTGATATCTCTGAGCTGATTAAAGATGCTGTTGATGTACAGAAAGTTGAAAATAGTGGCACTGTAATGTTGCCTCCGCACAACACTATTAAGGCTTGTTTTCTGCTTTAAAAATTAGCCTTCATCTGCAATCGCGATGCAAATTTGCCGTTTTCCAGCTACCATAGAACATTTTAACTCTTGTCATATAACACTGAAGTGAGGACAATTGGTAGCTTGGCGTAACGCGTAATGTCTCAGTAACTTCACCCCAATTCTCCGACACCCTCAGTGGCGGATCCAGGGGGAGGGTTCGGACCCTCCCCCTCCCTCATCAAACCTGACGCTTACGACTTCGAGACGGGATTGTATATTATTTTTATCTGGCCGATTTTTTTAATGAATCCAAATAAACGGTAAGCGGCCAAGGAATTATAACGTGCAACCGCGACTGGTGGGAGGGGGTGTGGGGGAGAAGTAATTTGCCTCAAAAGAGTCCAACAGTCCTTTCTGAACCAAAGTTTGGAACCCCTCCCCCCCAATCAAAAAATCCTGGATCCGCCTCTGACCCTCGTTTTTTAATTGACTTTTTGTTTCATAAGCCGACATTCATGGCGGTTGTAATAATCGAATTTTGCTGTTGATGAAGGATAGAGAATTCAATGACGTATTTGAAAATATGTGAACAAGGAAAACAACTCTAGCCGAACAACTTCTCTTTATTTCCTGTAATATTTGAAATCATTTTGTTTCATGAAATTAACATTCTTGCTAGGCATGTCTTGACAGCCCACAAAAACGGGGAGCTAAGTTTTTCACAACTATGTAATTCGAACAAGTTTACGCTGACAAGCGCCAATTCTACAACATTGTCTGAATTTAAGCGATAGTTAAGCGAACTCCTTTAAGTTAAAACAACGTACAATGACTTTCAGCTCTTGTAAATAGCCAACCACAAAAGATAACTCTCCGTTAATGCTTGTTAAAGTTTTTTTGTGATCGTTTCAAAATTTCTGCTAATTACGTCTTGATATCAGTCTTGGCCTCAGTACCACCCGCAGAGGATACTTCCATACCAGATTCTCCTCCACTCTCCCCCTCCCCCTCTTTCTTTTCTTTCTTGGCTCCTTCCTCCCCCTGACCGCTGTCTTCACGCCTTCTCTTGAAGCTTCTTCCTCGACTGCGTCGGAACTTTGATTGGGGCGGGAGTCGATCAATTGCGAGAACTTTGTGAAGTTGTCGGAAAGCTGTCAGTCGGAGGGCGTGCTGATAAGGAAATATATCTTAATTAAAATGTTAACAAAATTAACACGATACCCCGTGACCATAAAAGCAAAAGTAAATAGGCCCATCAGGCTCATTAAATCAGTTTTTCCCTCCAGCAAGTGTCAGGTAAAATCTGTTCATCATTTAGGCCTTGTAACCGACAGTTACGATTAAAAAACAAAAACAATTCTCACCACTGAAGAAAGATGAAAGTAGTACCTCTGACAAAACATTCAAGAGGTGTGCCTTACCTGTGCTGAAGCAGTTAGATCTTCTCTTTCTTGCATTGAAACAGTACCAAGAGCATCAATAGTTTCCTTTTCACAAGGATCACTCAATCCTGGTCCACCTGTGGCACAATTGACACAGAGTAATCTGCTTTGCTACTGACCAGAAAATACCAGGGCCAGCTTTAAACAATTATAAATTAACAACTGCACCTTCAAGAAGAAGTCCACTAGAAATACATTCTAGCACGCGGCGAAAAGCTTCACCAGGTCCCAGCGCCTGTTGGCTACTGCTAAGCGCCTTCTCTACCAACAGCTCCATCGCCTATCATAATCCATTAAATAAAAGTCAGCAATGTATGAATTAACTTAGATTACACAGATCTTATCTTAGATTTAGACAGGCTGGCCGAGTTCGGCCTTAAAGCTGGTTTAAATCGGGGCCTGTGTAACTAATAACAAGCCCAGACCAGAACACCGGTAGTTACGTTCGTGGGTTCGTTAAGTCCCCTGCTAAGCCGTGCGGAAAAGATGCAGGAGACGAGGCCTACGGTTTATCGTCCTCATCCAAGAAGACTAGAACGACTAACAGGCAACAGGGTCGTACACTGACAAAATACCAAATTCTCTTAACTAATAAAAAAGAACCAAAAAGGAATAGATATGAAATGGATCTTAAGAGTTCACCAGCGAAGTATTGACAATAACAGAAACACGAAAAGGTCGTTCAGTGAAGTATATATTGTTACATTCTTAACAATTGTACAGATCAGTGCCAGGTTGTTTGAAACTGAACTATTGCAAAGAAAAACAAAACATTAGCCATTGCTGAAAATACTATTTAGAAAGCTGTTAGAAATGCAAATTTCCAAAGAGTATTGTTTGCCAGCAGTTTGATTCTTTTTTACTGTT